TCCTGCACTTTGGATTGACAAGCCAGGGGTATTGCAGAAGCTGGATTTTTGGCTGCTTGAGAAATAGAATATTATTTGCAAATGAGTAGCTTATTAGAATAAAAACACAATAGAGATACTGATTTTCTTAAAGAAACCTGGACCCCCAACTGTACTTATGTTGGATAGATTCCATGCATTCTGAACTATCTTTCTCCTCCATCACATTTGTTCCCAAAAGAAGAGACAGATTGGAACTCACAAAGAGATAATCATTTTACGGATATCAGGTGATAAGAGCTTTTTCAGTATTAAAACTGAACCTTTTTGGAAGAAGTATACATAGGTAGATTTAAAACTTCAAATATACAAAGATAGACTGATTTGTAAGTAAATGAAAAAAATTATGCAGCAACTTAATTTTGTCACATGGAATAGCAGAGTTAGAATTCTTTCAGTGCTCTCCTAAATAAATGATGAAATAATGACAATTTCAGTAATGCTTAAAGTGGCAATAAAATATAATTTTACTTTATCCTAACTAGAGTTTAAATTAAAGTCCCAATAACTTTGACTGACTTATTAAGGAATGACATATGTTAGCTATTCAAATATTTATTAAGTCATTTCAGAACATCTACTATAAGAGCGTTCATATTTTTTAAAAAATCTTTTAGCTTACTTGTAATATTTTTGGGGGTGTATAGAGCTGGACTAGGCTAGAAGTACCCAGAGACAGGATGCCTGCCTAAAGCATCCCTACCCAGGGTAAAACTGGATTGCCATATCTCCGAGGAGGGCCATTCAGTAGCAACTTTGCTTTTCCATTGGATTTTCATTACTATAGAATGAAGAGATGAACTACATATTAAGACCATTTTTTGACAGCTTGAATTGTTTCATATATCAAAAATGTTCTCCGGGTGCCTGTGGCTCATGCCTATAATCCTAGCTACTCAGGAGGCTGAGATCTGAGGATCACGGTTCAAAACCAGCCCAGGCAAGGAAAGTCCGGAGACTCTTATCTCCAATAAACCACTAGAAAACTGTGGATCAAGTGGTGGAGCACTCGCCTTGAGCTGAAGAGTGCAGGGACAGCGCCCAGGCCCAGAGTTCAAGCCCCATGACCAACCAAAAGAAAAAAAAGTGCAAAAACATACACACAACAATAGGTGATAGATGTAGTGGAACTCTTCATTTGTAAATCAGTTTTTAACATTTAGCTGTTCAACATTTAGCAGTTAAAAGTGAAATGAAAATGAGACAAGCTTGATAATGAACATTCCACAGTTATTTCTCAAGAAAATACCCAAAATATTATGTGTTTTACGCAATATATGACTCTCCTTTTGTGCATACACCTTCCCCCATACATTCAAATGCACAAAATGATGTAAATTTTATGTAGTTTTAAAAATGCCTCTTTGTAGCAATTTTTTGCTTGGTGGTATTGGTTGAACTCTGCCTTGTACTTACAAGGCAAGTACTCTGCCACTTGGGCTATGCCCCCAGCTTTTTATGATTTTGATAGGTCAGGATCCTAAATCTTTACCAGAATTAGTCTGGGAGGGATGTGAATCTTCTGCCTTCTGTGTAGCCAGGGACCACATACATCCCCATAGCAATAATCAGTATTGTTTTTGTGCCAATAATAGAGCTTAAACTCAAGACCTTAAGCTGTTGGCTGGCATTTTTTCCATGATACCATTTGAGTGGTATCTTTCAAATTTTTGCAGGTAAGAGTCTTTTGGAGATAAGAGTCTTTCAGATTCCTCTGCCTAGGCTGGCTTCAAACCTTGGTCTTCAGTTCTCAATCTCCTTAGAATGTAGGATTATTCATGTGAACCACCAGTAATTATTTTTAACTGCTGCTTTATGTGATTTTAGCCCACAAACTGGTACTTACTTTTCAAAATATGTTGAAGGAACAGATAAGAATCTTTGCTGAGAACATTTTCAGCATAGCAAGATGAAAAATCATAACATTTATTACATTAACCTAAACAGTAAGAAGCAAAACAGTGGAAATAATTGTTTGCCTCCAGAAATAAAATAGAAATAGTTCAAAAAACTATATTTGAATGTTAATGGTTTCCATAGAACAGGTAACATTTTTATTGCTTTAATATATAAAAATCAGTTACTGTTAAAGAGGTTTTACCTAGCAAATCATATTTTCTATTTTTATTTTAGACAAATGTTTAAAATATTTTTGTATTTAGTACTTTGACTAAACATCATATCAACAAATTGACACTATTTTTTTTTAAATTTTATTTTATTTTATTTGTGAACAAACTGTACAGAGGGGTTACAATTGCATGGGCAGGATAATGCGTACATTTCTTACCAAGCATTGCAGCCTCCTCCTTTGTTTACCCTT